CTTGATGAACACACCGGCACATATATATGCATGCCCAAAGTCCCAAGAGGAGGATGGAAAAGGGATTGTGGCATGGGCCCCCACAAGGGGTGACTTCTCACGTTCTCTTTTTCTTTCTCCAGTTGATCACACACACTCTTATAGAAAACTAAAAAATAATAATAATAATCTGTTGTTTAACAATATTCATCAGTTTTGGACATTTTTCTATCATATTCCTTTTTCTTCTTTTTTAGGAGAGATTTATGCTATAGGATACGTGTGCTTACTGGAGAGACAAAGACAGACAGACAGACAGAAAGCAAAACATCCCCAGGGAGAATAGCAATGCCGCAATCCCTTCGCCTCTTAGAATTTTGGGCATGCACAGACACATGCCTAGCATGAATTTTAAGCTGCCAGGTCCAGGACTTGAACTGCAGTCGACTACATGGGAGTCCAGTGACATAATCATTACACCATCTGCTGGCCCCCATACTCCTTTCAAATACTGTTTCTACCTATTCTCTCTTAGCCCTTAGGGACTCTGATCTTGTGATCTCATCAATGTGTCTATGTTTCTCTCAATCTCCTCTGCCTTCTTCATCCTTTTTTTTTTTTTTTAAGATTTCAGTCATAGGGCAGGTGTGCTCGCCAGAGAGAAACGGTGAGAGAGTAAAAGAAAAATCACCCCCCTGGGGTAATAGCCATGCCACAATCCCTTCTGCATTCTCATCCTGGGATTTGGGGCATACATGCACACACATCTGGCATGAGTTCAAGTCTTTGGGTCTGGGACTTGAACTGCAGTTGGACATGTGGGAGTTCAGCACCTTAACCACCATGCCACCTACAGGCCCCTTTTCCATCCTTTCTACTATGAATTTTTCCACTTTACTAATTCTCTCTCCAGCTCTATCTAATCTTCTGTTAAATCCATCAAGTTCCTAATTTTCTTTTTTTAATTTGCTATAAGTCACACGCTCACCAGAGAGGGGAATAAAGAGAGATAGAAAGTGAGACAGTATACACACACACGCGCGCACACACTTCTAGAAGGGAGGATGGCCACACCACAGTTCCTTCTCCTTTATTCTCCTCTCAGGATTTTGAGCATGCACACACACATGCCAGGTGGGTTTTCCAAGCTGCCAGGTCTGGGACTCAAACCATGCAGCCATATGGAATCCAGCCACTTTAACTACTATGCCAATGATTGGCCCGTTACTATGCTTCAAATTTAGAATTCTCCTTTCCTTTTTTTAATTTTCCAGTTCTCTGCTGAAATGCTGAATGTTGTCTTTTCTCTCTCTGAAAAAGGTAAGCATAACAATATTAGCAATACTTAAGTCTAGTCTTTGGAACTTTAATATGAGAAGCCCCTGGGGATCTAATACTATTTTCTGTTGCTTCTGTTACATTTTGTTCATGTAATTTGATCACGCCTGATTTTTTAAAATAATTATTTATTTAATTTTATTTATTCATCCATTTATTTTAATTTGACCAGAGAGAAACAGAGAGAGAGAGAGGGGAAGTGAGAAAGCAAGCCACCAGGTCCAGGACTTGAACCGTGGTTGGCCATGTGGGAGTGTCCAGCACCTTAACCACCATGCCACCCGCTGGTCCCGATGCCTGATTTTTTCATATGGGTTGGACATTATATTTGCAGAAATTTTCTACTAACAATTTGAGGTCTGGTATATTATCTTCCACACAGGATTTACATTTGCTTCAGCCAAGCACCTGAGACAAAGACAGTGCATTACTTCAATCTTTTTTCAGGGTTTAAAAATATTCAGAGTGGACCTCCAATCCCCATGAGGGCCTATCTACACCCAATTCACCACTACTTTTAGGTTGTGCCCTTCAGAGTACCAATCTAAAGTAAGAGTGACTCGCTAGAATCACACACACCCACGTTAGCAGTGATTTCTCACTTTCTCTCTCCATCTTTGTCTCTGAATTCCAGTCCCCATCCCTTTGGTCCTAAGAAACTATTAATGTACTGCTCGATTTTTCAGTAGACCCTGCTGAAAACCAGGAAATATCCATTGGGGAAAAAGAGCCACAAATAGTACGTTATTTCCGTAACCTTTTATTCTCTCTTAGATATTCACTCTATTATTTCCCTTTAGGTATCTTCAAGCAGATTCAAGGAATAGGGTAGGGTGAGGGGCTGGCTGGCTTTTCTACTTGTTGTCTGAAGGAACTGGTATCCAACTATTTTCTCTGTCATAACTGAAGGTATGTAACTCTTAACTCTGTAATTTTTGGTCAATGCTTTCAATTCCCAACTCCCTCCCAGTCTTCTCCCTAACACAACATCTCCACACCTGCACCTGGTCTCTCTCTCCTTCCTATATTAGGGAATGTCCCTGCATATTTACAACCTATTCTTCCCAATGTACGTTCTCTCCCCTCTTTGTATCGTCTACTCTAGAACTGTACCACAGCCATTTTCTCTCCATAAGAACTTCCCAAGAGCACGCAACCAAGTTAAAAGCATGACCCTGCTCCCCCTTTATGTGTGTCAAGCTATCTGCTAGCATTCCATTTTTCTCATTCCTATCCCATCTAAAGTTTTAAAATGTAGTCTTGGAGCTAGCAGGAGGCATGGTGGTTAAGGTGCTAGACCCCACATGGCTGACCATGGTTTCAGTCCCAGACTGGGCATGCATGCACATGCAAAATTCCAAGAGAATGGAGGAGAAGGGATTGTGGCATGACCATCTCTCCCAGGAGGTGACTTCTCATTTTCCTTCTCTCTGTCTCTGTCTCTCTCCAGTGAATACACAAGTCTCGTCTCCAAGAAAACAGAAAAAGAAAAAGAAAAGGGAAAAAAGTGGTCTAGACTCATAAACTCTATTTCCCACATCACATACTCTTTAATTCTCCTTGGAATAAGACTTTTGTCCTCATTATCCAAGAAAGCTCATCCCGGGGAGTAAAATCCTCATTACTTAAATAATGGCATATTCTCAGCATGGCTTTCACGTGTGTGAAGAATACCAATAAGCAGCACTAAGGACTACAACACTTCACCCGGCCTTCAGTACACCACAGGGTTCGCTCTCGCTCGCTCGCTCTCTCTCTCTCTCTCTCTCTCTCTCTCTCTCTCTCTCTCTGCAATTCTCAGCTCTCCTTAGTGACCCCTCTACTTTCCCTTACCTCTTAAGTCTTCACCATTTACAAGACTACCCTTAAGCCTCATCTCGCTTCTCTGTTAAAGTGTTTTAAATCTACATCTCCAGCCCTGCTGTCCAAAACTCTTCATTAACTTTCCAACGTCCTGCTGAGTAATACTGGCAAGCACTTTGCATGCAACATGTTTCTAATTCAAATTATTATTCTCCTCAAACTAAATTTTCCACCTGCGTATTGCATCCAGATTAATGACCTCATTATCATCCCTAGGCAGCAAACAGTAGTCATCAAATCTCTCTCCATTAATACTCTATTACCAGATTGTATCTATTCTATCTTTAAAATTTGTACTAAATACCTTCCTTTTCAACTTGGGTAGCACTGTCTGAATTGAAGTTGTTCCAACAGTGTAGCATAAAGATGACAATAGTTTCTTAACAGGTCTCTCAAACATTGATCGCTTCTTCAATCTGTATTTTACTTAAAACAAACAAGCAAAAAAGACATTTTATGAAGTACCTGTTCAAAACCCTTCAGGAGGTGTCACTGAATTCTGTAATCTAACCTACCTTTCTAGTCTCATCTTTTAATAAAAGTTCTTTCAATATCAAGCCAGGTGAATTCCTGATGAAAATAGTAAATTGGCCAAGCCCATGCTTGGTATCAAAGACTGAAAAGTTACTTACAAATAAATCAGGCTCCAACTAAACTCTGAAAAATATCAGAAACAGCTATAGATTCTAAAGAGTAAACAAACAGAGACAGATTGCCACAAGGAGTAGAAATCTGGGAAACGCCTAGTATTTCAGTGAGTTTCATGGTATGGTTTGGTTTGGTTTGGTTTGGTTTGGTTTGGTTTGGCTGGGGATGGATAGAAGCCGTGCCCCAAGGGCAGGCTGCCATCACGGTAGTGCAGTGTAGACAGCTAAAACATCAACACATAGCCCCAAGCCGCCTGGCAAGAAGAAAGGGAAAGAACCTGGGCAACCAGAGATGGCTGCCAATGGCAATCTAGAACAGGTAAGAGCCGAGGAAGAAAACTCCCTAATTCTTCTGCACGCTGTATGGGTCCCAGACAGCTGCCTCGACTGTACAGATGTGTAGGAGACTCAAATCAGTGCAGCATCTCCTACAGGAGAGAGACGTACAACCTGAGCCTATAAGGGTATGAAGCTAATTGCCAGTGGAATAAGAAACATCAATATTGTTCAGAGGACCTGAACAGAATTCAGTCGATACAATGCAACATAATAGTAACTATATTTAAGACACAATCAAGATGACAAAGAACTCAGAAAAAAATGACCTGCTCTAAAGAGAAAAAAAATTAGTACCTCCCATCCTCAACATGACTTAGATGTTAGAATTATCAAAGACTAAATCCACTTTAATAATTCACTAAAGTAAAGGGGAAAACATTCAAAATGACTGAAAAGATACAAAAGTCCAATAGAGAAATTAAAAATTACTTTAAAAATGAGTATTGTAGGGGCTGGCATGTGACATGGTGGTTAAGGCACTGGACAGCCACATGGCTGACCACAGTTCAAGTCCCAGACCTGGCAGCCTGAAAATCAGGCCAGGCACATGTGTATGCATGCCAAAATCCTGAGAGGAGAACAGAAGAAAAAGGATTACAGCATGGCCATCCCCTACTGGGGGGTGTTTTCTCACTTTCCCTCTCTCTGGCTCTCTCTGGCACATGCACATGCCTTGTGACGAAAACCTTTAAAAAAAGAGAAAGAAGGATAGCACCCTGCCTATGCCGCCAACCTCTCTGCCTCCACGGGCCATGCTGCAGACCTAGACCTTGGGCTTACTGGCCACCAGAATCACTTCTATGGGAGGACGTCGGAAATAGGGGAAAGACATACCCAACTGCTGGAACGGGAGAGCCACACTAGTGCTGTGACAGGCGGACTGTCACGTAAAGAAGTCTGGATCCGCGGTCTATCTCCTGCACCCGAGGAAGACAGTTTCTGTAGAATGAGAGAAATGCGTGCACATTCACACAGGCATGCACACACACAAGTGACTTCAGAATTTTTCTTGAAATAAAAATTCCTTTGAAATTCAAGTTTTGAGCAAGTGATCATACAAGACTCAATTAACATATATAAAAGGCAACAATGTATAGCACATTTAAGTTACTCTGTTTACAACTGAAATGGTATAAGAAAATTCAGTAGTAGAAAAAAACTGAGTAGAGATGAGACAAAAAAAGCACTGACAATCATAACTGACTAAAAAAATAATAAAATAGTGGAACCAGCAGGTGACATAGTGGTTACGTTGCTGGACTCCCACATGGCCGACTGTAGTTACTCCCACATGGCCGACTGTAGTTCGAGTCCCAGACCTGGCAGCTTGAAGCTCATGCTGAGTATGTGTGTATGGTGCCCAAAATCCCTGGAGGAGAACAGAAGAGAAGGGAATGTATTGTGATCATTGCCCCTGGGGGGGGGGGTGATTTCTCAATTTTCTTCTCACTGTCTCCCTCTCTCTCTGGTGAGCGCACACACCCTATGGCAAAAACCTTAAAATAATAATAATAACAAAATATTAAAGTCAACAACTTTAGTAAAGGTCCATAAAACGACTCTGTTGTATCTTCAAATTTAAATAAATAAATAAATAAATAAAATAACTCTAAAAAAGTAATTACAATGCTTACAAAAATATAAATACAAAATGAATACATACAATATCTGAAATTAAAAATTTGGTAGATGCACTCATTAGAAAAATAGAAAAAGATTAAAGACTTGGTGAGCATTAACTATCAACAGACGTTATACAATCTGAAAAGCAGACAATGAAGATTGAAGGACCAGAAGTTAGTGTAATGGCTATGTGGCTGAACTCCCACATAGCCGACCGCGGTTTGAGTCCCGGACCCGGTGACTTAAACTCACGCCAGGCGCGTGTGCGTGCATGCCCAAGATCCTGAGAGGAGAATGGAGGAGAAGGGATTGTGATGGGGCCATCCCCCCCTGGGGGATTTCTCTCTTTCTGTCTCTCTGTCTCTGTCTTTCTGGCAAGCGCACGCGCCCTATAGCAAAAACCTCTCAGAAAAAAAAAAAGAGAGAGAGAGAGAGAATGAAGATTGAGTAAAAGATGAAGCAAGCATTATGGACTTACAATATAAAAAAGTTAAGCATAAAGCTAACCGGAGTCTCAAAGGATAAGGAGATAAGAGGTCAACAAGAATAGAAAAGAGCATTGATTGAAAACATCCCACATTTGGATCTGGGACTCAAATCTAAATATAGAGATCCAAGAAATTTGGTAAACCCCAAAGGAGAAAATTCTATCTAGACTCATCATAATCAAACTGTTGAAAACCAGTGAGAAAGAGACAAAGGAAAATGACATACATACAAGGAAATGACATCCTGAATGGCCGCAGATCCTTATCATCGTCAGTAGTGGCCAAAAGACAATAATGGCACGACATATCTTTAAAGGGCTGAAAGAAAAGACTGTCAGCCCTGAATTATATATCTGACAAAAATGCCCTTCAGGAATGAAAGTAAACTAAAGACATTTTTCAGGTGAAGGAGACAAATCCACTACCTGCGGAAATGCACTACCAGAAACACTGAAGGAAGCGCTCTAGGCTGAAGGAAATGATATGGGAGCAACAATGGGATGTTCACGAATGAAAGCTAAACACTAGAAATATTTAATTTATGTAGATTATATCAATAAAGTAGTAAAAAAAATCATAAGAAAATTATTTTTAACCTGGAATTCAAGGATAGGAGTGGAATAAAGACATTTTCAGAAGTAAAGGCCAATAAAGAATTCATGTATTCTTTCTTACCAAGCTAGTGAAGGGTATGCTCCACCAAGATGAGAGGGTAAACTGAGAAAGAAGGCAACATAACAGGGAAGACATTCGGTTACAAAAGAAAGAAAGTAATTTTCCAGGATGACAAAGAAAGGGGATCCCAAGATGGCAACTCAAGATGCATCAGGAGCTATATCCAGAGGCCCTTGCTACCGGAGTACTTGCTGTCCTTTAATCAAAGGTAGGATGCCTGGGTGAGCCGGGTTCACTCCTCGTTAGGAGTGCAACATGAGTGTAGCCTACCGGGTCGTCAGAAAAGTCATGATGTATTTTTCTATGTTAAAAATGTCTTGTGACTTTTCCGACGACCCAATAGTCAAGTTCCTGCTCCCCTTCTACAGTACCTTGACTTCAGGCCACTCATTTCACCTCACAGAAGTGTTCTACTTCGATCATCTTCTGAACTTGTGACTTAATTACAGGTACACTATAGTATGCTTGCTTTTATGTAACAAAGAAGAAACAATAAAAAATAGACATGCATAGCCTCATTTGCCCAAAAAGACATACAATGCAGTAAATTAGAACCTAGTAGTATTAGTTATCAACAGGGTAGATGTGAATAGGGTGAAAGAAAGCAGATGGAAACTGGGTAATAAATGGACATGGGAGTAACATTTCACTGCATATGCCTTTTTAATGGTCTAACTTTTGAAACGTAAACACACTCATGATTGACATAATCAAAAAAATAAAAAAGCCATTGGGTCAGAAGATGGCATAGTAGTTAAGGTGCTGGACTCCCACATGGATACTTATGGTGCGACTCCCAGACCCAGCAGCTTGAAACTCATTCCAAGTGTGCATGTGTGTGTGTGTGTGTGTGTGTGTGCATGCACATGCACACATGTGTATGCCCAATATCCCAAGAGGAAAACAGAGAAGAATTGTGGCATGGCCCACTCCCCCTGGAGATGATTTTCTCACTATCTCTGTCTCTATTTGTCTGTCAAGCACATGCACCCTATAGCAAAAATAAATAAATAAATAAACAAACAAACATAGGGAAAATAATGGCTTAAAAATGTAACGCAAGGGGCCAACAGGCAGCATACTGGTTGGTCTCAACTGACTCCAACATGACCAACCACAGTTCGAGTCCCAGATGTGGAAGCATGCTTTCTCACTTTCCCTCTCTCTGTCTCTCTCTGGTGAATTTAAATAAATAGAATAAGTAAAAAATAAATAAATAATTATTTTTCAAAAATGCAATGCAAAATGGAGGGACCAGCAATTAGCGTAATGGCTATGTCACTGGACTCCCATGTAGTCGACCGTGGTTCGCATCCCGGACCTGGTGGCTTAAACTCACTCTGGGCGCGTGTGCGTGCGTGCCCAAGATCCCGAGAAGAAAATGTAGGAGAAGGGATTGTGACGTGGCCATCCCCCCAGGGGGTGATTTCTCACTTTCGGCCTCTCTGTCTCTGTCTGGCGAGTGCACGTGCCCTAAAGCAAAAATCTCTTCAAAAAAAATGCAATGCAAAATGGAAACAAATGATCCTAACTCTATTTAAAATACAACAAATATTTACGAAAAAAATTAAAGGCACAAATATTTGGGAAAATATTACTGCATTCATGGATTGGAAGAATTAATATTGTTAAAAACATCCTTCCTACCCAAAGCAATTCACAAATTTAATGTAATCCCTATCAAAACCCCGATGTCACTTTTTACAATAGAAAAAACAATCTTAAATTTCATATGGAACCACAAAGGACCTCAAGTAACTAAAGCAACCTTAAGCAAAGAGACCAAAGATGGACACACTACTTTATCTCAAGATACTCCATCAATTTATAGAAATTAAAATAGCATAGGGCCAGCCCTGTACCCTAGCAGTTAAAGGAGCCAGATCCCATGGCCGATCAAGGTTCAAATCCCTGTCCAGCAGCTTGAAAACCATGCCCAGCATTTGTGTGTGCATCCCCCAAGTCCCAACAGGATAGAGAAGGGGAGTAGAGGGAATAGCGGCATGACCACACCCCACTGGGAATGCTTTCTTCCCCTCTGTATGTATCTTCCCATCTCTCTCTGGCAGGTTCATGCATCCTCGGAGGGGGCCTAGCAGGGGAAGCCATCATAGTACTCCTGGACATGAACAGGACTGACAGATTAATAGCTCTTTCTTGATTCTGTGGGTTCTGGTACATAGCTGTTCTTAGTGGGTGAAACTATTTGTCTGATTAATTCTGAAAATGAATAAGACCCTGGAATGCTAACTAGTTACACAACCCTCAAGCAATTGAGGGTCCCCCAACTTCTTAAAGGGACAAGTGGCATTCATCCACCTGAGACTGAGCACCAACAGATCCATGACAGCCTTGGAAGTCTGTAGCTGTATGCACATTATACTGATTGGCTATGACAGTGTATGTTTACCCTACACCAGCAGGCACAGGGTAACCCATTATACCCCATTCGTGATACGAATAGGAAACTGCAACCATTACCTGTGAATGAGGAGTTTCCAGTAAGTGCAGGTCACATGCTCACATCAATTAAGTTCCTACTCTTCTTCTTCTTCTTCTTCTTTTTTTTGGAGAGGTTTTTGCTATAGGGCACATGCGCTCACCAAAAAGACACAGAGAGACAGAGAAACAGAAAGCGAGAAATCACCCCCCAGAAGGGATGGCCACACTGCAATCCCTTCTCCTCCATTCTTCTCTAGGGATCTTGGGCACACACACACGCTCCCGGCACGAGTTTAAGCCACCAGCTCTAGGACTCGAGCTGCAGTCCACTACATGGGAGTCCAGCGATATAGCCATTACACTAACTTCTGGTCTCTTAAGTTCCTACTCTCTCTACACACCACCCATCACTATTATCAATTGGAAGATTTAGTGAGAAAAAAGAAAATAAAAACAGAATAACAACAAAAAAAAAAACAGCATGGTATTGACGTGAAAGCAGACACATAAGCCAACAGAACAGAATTGAGAACCCAGAAATAAGTGCACAGACTTACTATCAAGTGTTCTTCAAAAAAGACATTAAAAATATACCAAGGAGAGAACAGCAGCCCGCCCCGCCATCAGAGCCGTGTGCGCCATGAACCACGCTTCCCCAACCCTCTTCACTCGCGCCAGCACCGGCTCTCCCCCAAACTATGAGATGCTCAA